TGACTATGTGAATCCCGAAACGGCACTGCTAGCGCCCGGACGTCTAGACATCCGCGGCTGCAGTCTGTTTTCGCACGTCCACGCATGGGCTCGTGCCGGCCGGACGTTGCTCGCTCGCGCTTGCATCTCGCACGGCCATGCGGGGGGCCGCGCCGCCGAACGTCGACCGCGTGGAGACCGCTCGCCTCTCGCTTCCCACGCTTATTCCATGTGCAATACCCGATCTACTTTTAAAACATTCAGATGCAACACTTGCAATATAAAAAAAGGCAAATGAAACAGTTGAAATATGCGTCTAAAACACTTGCAAAAATACTTGAAAACCATTATAAACATACGCAGCATCCAGATAAAACATTTTTCAACATATGTATGAAAATATATGCAACATCCAAATAAACACGCTTGTAATATAAGTCTGAAAAAATAGATGAAACATTGATGACAGACTCTTGCAACATATGCAACATCTAAATGTACTTTTGCAACATCTATATGAAACGCTTACAACATACCTCTACAACATCTGAAATATTTGAAGTGTGAGCTTACAACATGTGTTTTTCACCATTATTCCGTGCGACGCAGAGCAGAGCGGGGAACGAACGGTTCCGGCCAGTCGGCGGCCGAGGATGGTGGCGCGGCCTGGCAGCGGGCAGCTGCGCTTGCTCGGTCTGGGCCTGGCCAGCGACGGTCCCCTCTCCTAGGGTGTTCCCGGCGATGGCTATGAGTGGGAGGTGGACACTGGGCCGCGGCGCGTTGGAGGCGGAGGTCTTCTTGGTCGCCGATCAGGCATCTGGACCTCGTGGTTGAGGCGGCAATGACGGCGAGGCGGCTGCGGTCTCCCTCTCCACAGGCGAGCAGCGGTCAGGCAGCAACGCCGGTCGATTCGGCAGGTTTGCTGCCCACGACGAGTGGCGCCAGTGGCGGAGAAAGCGAGCGAAGGGTGGGCAATGCAGTGCAGGCGCCCGTGACGGTCGGTGCTGGATGGGGAAAGTGTCGCTCTCTTTTATTTTCTTTTTAAGAAATCATGTATATACTGTTGGGGAGGACGACTGTGGATAAGCGTCGTTGCTGGACTGACGTCCACCTGGAGCATTAGCGATCCCGAAATCCACCTGTGCTTTGAAAAGAAAAGAAATCAAGAGGGTGCACACGTTTTCGGAGCACGTCAAGAATGTGGCACACGTTTGCGGTGTGAAAAAAAAACTTTCTGCGCCACTGCCGGCGTGTATGGACGTGACTTGGGCCGGAGGCAGCCAAATGCTCAATCGCCGAGCCTGGTGAGTTGCGGTTGCGGTTGGGCGGGGCTGGGCTGCCTGCTCCCCTCCAGGGCTGCCTGAGGCACTTCCTCCATCTGTCTGCCTGCATCCCGGCCTGCTTCGAGCCCTCGTCGAGGCATTCCTACCAGGCTTTGGCTAGCTAGCGCCTAGCACACAGTCTTGAATTCACTGTTCAGTTCGGCTTTAGCCCTGTTTGGAAAGGAGAAATAAAAAACGTAGGAATGAGAGAAGATACATGAATACAAAAGGAATACGGTGGAAAAATAGGGTAATGAAAAAACACAAGAATTTTATAGGAACGAGCGTTTGTAATGCAGGAACGAGATAGTAGAAGAATCTTATTTTTTTGGACTAATGATGTCCCTGTTTTGCTAAACTTGGTAGCTTGAGATTAGCTTTGGTAGGTCATTAACTCAGCAGTGGAGCACTCAGGCGTAGATCGTAGATCAAAGTTTTAGAGTTGGTACATGGCGAGAACACAAGTGACGTGAATAGATAAAAAAAAATGTTTCCTCGGCTCTCGTGTCTTGTCCCTTTTCTCACTGATGCACCGTAGTAGTGTTCGGTAGCTTAGGCAATGCCGCATCACGTCACAGGAAAATTTCCAATGGCCTAGACCGGATGTTTTCTTTCCTTCAAAATGTATGGGTAAAGGAAACTTTACAGAAAGGATATGCTCAATCCTATGTTCCAAACGCATGAACAGTATATAAAAATAGATGAATCTTGATTCCTGTACTTTTCCTTTGAGCTAAACAGTGGAATCAACAGGTCAGGAGGTAGCTCAGCTCCGTCACCATCTCCACCCCACCTGCACTGCACATCATCCTCCGATCTTTGCCTGACTTGCCGTTGCCCATCCACCTCTCGCCCTGGACGAGACGAAATCTTCCAAGGCGGCGACGATCGTCCTCTACCCCGGCGCGGGCGGGGTCGGCCACGTCACCCCCATGGCAAAGCTCGCCAAGGCCTTCGTCACCCACGGCTACCCCGTCACGTTGGTGCTCATCGACCCCTCCGGCTCCGCCGCAACTAGCACCGTCGCCCGGCGCCTGGCCGCCTCCGATCCGCGCATCTCCGTCCACGTCCTCCCTCCGGTTCCTCCGTCCGACTCCGACGCCGCCAGCAAGGTAACCAACACTCTGCTCCTTCTGCCGCGGCGGTACAACGCCGAGCTGGAGAGCTTCCTTCGCGCCACCCCGTCCCCGTGGCTGCCTCGTCGTCGACGTGTTCTGCGTGGACGCCATCGACGTCGCCGCGCGGCTGGGCGTCCCCGCGTACACGTTCGTCTCGACGTGCGCGTCGGCGCTGGCCGCGCTGACCCAGGTCCCGGCGCTGCTCGCGGGCAGGAAGACGGGGCTGAGGGAGCTCGGCAATGCGCCGCTCCAGTTCCTCGGCGTCGCACCTGGTCCGGAGCCTGCTGGAGCACCCGGACGACGAGGGGTGTTGGGCCATGGCGGACGTCTGGGCGCGCTGCACGGCCACCGGCGGCGTCCTGGTCAACACGTTCGAGTCGCTGGAGCGCCCGGCCGTCCAGGCGCTCAGGCAGGGATCCCCGGTGCGTCCCCGGGCGGGCGCTGCCGCCGGTGTACTGCGTCGGCCCGCTGCTCAACGGAGAGGACGGCAGGCCGGAGAGGCACGACGCACGAGTGCCTGGGGTGGCTCGACGCGCGGCCGGAGCGCAGCCTCGTGTTCCTCTGCTTCGGGAGCAAGGGCGCGCACTCGGCGGAGCAGCTCAGGGAGATCGCCGCGGGCATGGACAGGTCCGGGCACCGGTTCCTCTGGGTTCATCCGCGCGCCGGCCGGCAACGACGAGGACCACGAGGGGTTCCTGCCGGAGGGGTTATTGCAGCGGACCCAGGGCCGTGGCCTCGTCGTGAGGTCGTGGGCGCCGCAGGCGGATATCCTCCAGCACCCGTCCACGGGCGCGTTCGTGACACACTGCGGGTGTCCCGATGCTGTGCTGGCCGATTTTCACGCGGAGCAGCGGATGAACAAGGTGTTCGTGACGGCGGCGCGGGGCATGGCCGTCGGGGTGGAGGTGGAGGGGTGCGCGGGCGCGAGCGCGAGCACGACGGGCCTCGTCGGTGCCCGCGAGGTGGAGGCGAAGGTGCGGCTCGTGATGTGGACTCCGCGGAGGGGGAGGGGGGCTCAGGGCGCGCGGGCCGCGTCGCGGGCGGCGTTCGCCCGGTTCCTCTCGGACTTGGAGAGCAGCAGGCCTTGAAGCGATGATGAATTCTGCGTTGGCCCATGGGCTGATAGGCCGTGGATGCGACGCCGTGGAGAAATTCTCACCGGGCCGGGGCCCCGCTCCAGCCATATGTCCGTTGGAACGTGCCGGCCCGAGTGGCGGCGGAATTTTCTTCTGGCGAGATGAGAGCGACGGACAGACGGCGCCTCGTTGCAGTTCCGTGCAATCTGTCGAGCAAGAACAGTTGTTTGCCACCTAAAAACTGTCAATCAATCAATCAAACTGTCAAACTCCACGGCGACCAAATCCGTGGGAACAGGTGACGGGGGCAGATCAATCAGTCAGTGAGTGAGTCGAAGCAATAATAGGGAGGGATGATCACCAAACGCATTAGAAAAGCGCGGCGGAGCTGGAAAGAGCGAGGCGAGCGGTGCCGGCGGAGGCCGACAGGCAGGCTACAGCCGGAAAGGCGACTCCGCCGCCCAGCTGAAATGGCCAAATGATTTGCCTCCCCACAGCTCAGCCACAGCTCAGTCACAGCCAGACGCCGCCCTCCGCTGCTCTGCTCTGCTCCCTCCGTGGCTCTGTCCTTCCTCTTCCTCCTTGCCGCTGAGGAGGCGAGCCGCCAGCCCGGAAACCAATCGAACAGGCCGAGACCGCCCGCCTCCACTGCTCGCGTGCGTGCTTCCCGGTCCCGGCAGCAGGTGAGGGTTTCGCACTTTCGCTCCTTCTCGGGTTGGGTTTTGTGAGGTGAAACTGAAAAGGGGCCCCGCCTGCATTTACGTTGGTTTTGGGTGGCTTGATATTTTGGGAAACTAAATCCGGGTTATTTGTGGGTTCAAATTAAGGTGGTGATTCGACTCGGTTTTAGTGTAATCGAATGTCTGAGTTTGAGCTCAATGCTTTCAGTGTCTCTCTGGATATCTCATAGTACACACTAGAGATGTCCTTCCGGCAATATGTTGTGGCTCTCTGCAAATTTCTGCTGTTGTTTCGACTCTGAAGAGGTCTCTGTTGGTTGATCATATCGTGGAAGCCGTGTACTAGTATTTCATCTGTGTTAAGATTATAATATCTATTGTGAGCTGTGAGTTTGTGAGTGACCAGCATCAAATTGGACTATGCAAAATCTTCTTTTCTGGTTGAAGTAGAATGTGGGTTGGTAGAATAGCTAATATATGTTTCTTTTCAAATTGGACAAGCTTGATTTCTTTTCGATGAAAAATAAACACAGAAATTCCATACCATGCAATCATCTATATGTAATCTGTTCTTCTCAGTTTGTTTGTTTTTTATGGTTTTTGACTACTGTAACTGAATGGCTAGTAGGCACTTGCTAGTTTAGTGTTGCCATTTGTATTTGTTGAAGCTTTCCCCGAAAATTAAAATGTTGGGTGCAATGGCTGCTGCATGGAACTTGAGACTTATTGGTGCTTACATCAAATATGCTTTTCCTTTTTCATTTAAAATGAAGGAACAGAGAAGGAAGGAAAACAAGAACCAAGAGCAGAGTTGAATAAGTCACTATGCGCCGGTGGCTTTGCTGCAGTCATTTTGACACACCATATCTTGAAAACGAAAATGGACTTACAGGCAGTCCTGATAGAACAAGTGGTACGTCTGTTGTTTATGATATATTTCTTATAGCGTTACTTACTTACTTTATCAACGTACAGATGATTAGAGCACAAATCTTAGTCTGTACTTTGTATTAATGAAAGACAGATGACGTCATTGTGGGATTATTTGGCCCCTGGTGTGGTAGATTAAACTTGTATTAGATGAACGGCACAGAGCATAACATGTGAAGACAAGCTTTTGGTTTTGACAGAAAACTATTCTTTGCTAGACCAAGTCCCATTTTTATTCCATATGGCATGCCTGATGGAAATTTTGAAACTAATTTTTTATCATATATTTTAGCTAAAGATATGTTGGATACATTTCAAGTTAGCTGAATATACCGTGTTGTAAACAATATAAGTTCGGCAATCTGACGGTTTCATTACAAAAATGCACCATGTTGTTGATCAAACAGCTGCACTTAAACATTGTTGTACAAATTCGAAAGTCTAAAATGATACTAGTTCAGGCCTGGTCAGCAAGCTACCTGTACACATTCTTTTTTTCTAGGAAGATTAATGGTTCTCAGGCCTGCTACGTGGACAGCTCAATGGATGAGGAACAACCCCACCTGAAATTTTCATTTCAAAAGGAGAACTGAGTACAAGCTTGCTACTACTTTGTTAGTTGCTTATTAGGCAAGCATTAGTAGCAGCACATGATATCGATCAATACATCCTTCTATCGAGAGATAACCAAGTAGAATTGACTGGAGTAGTATTTAACACTTAGATTGACCTTTTGTCCTCTTCGTTCAAATGACTTAATAGTCAAAGACATAGAAAAATACAAATGTAGCTACAACATTGTCAATGCAAAGCCAGGTAAATTTGAGCTTACGCAAGGCATTTCAGGTAGCAGGTCTGGTACAGATGAGGACACTGATTAGTTAGAATGTCATGCTGATTGAACTTTTAGGTGGTTCTGTTGCCTTCTATTTAGGTGCTTCTTACTTTATTCATTGTTTTATGTTATTCAATATCGACATGGTTTTACATGGCATGCCTATAACTGTTCAGCGCCTTTTCTCTCTGCATTCCATGCTTCTGCTGCTGAGATCATAAGCATATTCAACATATGCCTTTCAGGAAACAGTTTAAATTCAAACAGTGATCCTGCAAAACCGCCTTCCATTGAAGTACCTGCATTGTCATTTGATGAATTGAAAGAAAAGACAGATGATTTTGGGTCCAACGCTTTGGTTGGTGAGGGGTCATATGGAAGAGTATATTATGCTGTTCTGGAAAACGAACAACATGTGGCTGTAAAGAAGCTTGATACTTCAGCAGATCCTGAACCTGATAATGAATTTCTAGCACAGGTATGGTTTGTGGTTTGCCCAGACCCTGATACTGCAAATAACTTATTATATCATACTCTACACTCTTATTAACTGCAATAAAATTGTTTTTGCAAATTATCCATTTTGCCATAATGTTATGTATATTGTTTATGCTTCATGTTGAACAATTTCCTTTTTCCCTTTTCCTATTTTGGATATAGGTGTCCACTGTTTCAAGATTAAAACATGAAAACTTTGTGGAAATGCTTGGTTATTGTATCGAAGGAGATCAACGTCTACTGGCTTATGAATTCGCTACAATGGGCTCTCTACATGATATTTTGCATGGTATGCATCTAGCCACTTAGCTAATATGCGGCATTTGGAGATAAAAAAATATTCATGATGAAAACATGAAGTCTTTTCTAAACTTGTTTTTTTTTCAACAGGAAGAAAAGGTGTTGCAGGTGCACAACCTGGACCTGCTCTTGACTGGATGCAAAGAGTCAAAATTGCTGTTGATGCTGCAAAAGGTCTTGAATATCTTCATGAGAAGGTTCAACCTTCCATAGTCCATCGAGATATACGGTCTAGCAATGTTCTTTTATTTGAGGACTACAAGACTAAAATTGCAGACTTCAATCTTTCAAGCCAATCTCCAGATATGGCTGCTCGTCTACATTCTACTCGCGTCCTTGGAACCTTCGGATATCATGCTCCAGAGTAATTATTTGACATAAATATGCACTCTGCTCATAATTTGCATAATGTATCTAGGATTATGCCCCCACATAATTATCATTTATTTACCTTTATCCTCATCATAAAGAAGCATGCTAATAATCTTTTGACTATTTTGCAACTATATGAATGGCCAAGGGAAAATTGGCTACTATAGAATAGCTAAGAACCAACAAATGAACAGATAATAGAAATATCTAGTTTTTATTAGGTTTTAGATATTTGGATTTATGAGTGGCACGAAATGAATATTTTGGAACTTTATCTTTGTTGCCCATTTGATCGGTGACATAAGAGATCTCTTATGCATTGCAGGTATGCTATGACTGGCCAACTGACTCAAAAAAGTGATGTATATAGTTTTGGGGTTGTCCTCTTAGAGCTTCTAACTGGAAGGAAACCTGTAGATCATACAATGCCAAGGGGCCAGCAGAGTCTTGTTACTTGGGTATGAATTAAATTCTTCACACTACAATTCTCAATGATGTTTCAAAACCAGTTTTTTGCCATTTTCCTTGAACAATTACCAATATGCAAGTCCCGAGTTGTGCGGAAGGACCTGCACAAATATAGCAAAAGAATATCAACAACTTTATGTAGTTATTGTTAGTGGTCTGATTTATCATGTATGTTGTTCCATGTTCAACTCAGGCGACACCAAGGCTTGGTGAGGACAAGGTTAAACAATGTGTTGATCCAAGATTGAATGGAGAGTACCCTCCAAAGGGAGTTGCAAAGGTATGTCCATTCTCTCCTTCTATGTGTCCATTATTTGTGATACAAAAATCCACATTTTTCAAATTGGCTACTGCAATTTGAAGTTATTAGTATAAACAAATCAGCATTAGTTGCAACAAACTTGTGAAATACCAAGCCATCAGCAATTATTTTTCCTTTTGTTGTTGATGCAGCTAGCGGCAGTGGCGGCTCTCTGTGTTCAATACGAATCTGAATTCAGACCAAGCATGAGCATCGTAGTCAAGGCATTGTCTCCTCTTCTTGTAAATGCACCATATGAGCCAGCTGGTGCCCCTGATACATCTTCAAATGCCTGACAACATGCACAACTGAAAACCCATGTAAAGAAACACCATTTATTTTTGGTATGCCGTTTTTACGAATTATTTATCTTTCGTAAAATCAAAATTGTCTGTGTTTATTGGAGAGGAAGGGAAGAAAAAAAGGTAACACATTTATTTTGAACCCATGTACTTCATGCTTGAGAGTTGCTGCAGTTAAAGTTAATTACTTAATCTACACATTTGTGCATTTGTTGCCCTTCCCCTGTTTCAGTCCCCCCTTTTTTTGAGAAGATCATCCTTATATTATTTGTTGTGTATTTGATGTTTTGTTCTTTAGGATTCAGGCGGGCCTAATGTGTAAGTTTGGTTGCGGCTGTTGTAATCAGCGTGTTACCATCGATTTAAATTCTAGGGGAATTTCAATGAAATTTTGTGAATTCTACCTTACCTGCTGATGAATGAAGTTTGATTTTTTTAAAAAAAAATTGCATTATGATTATATATAGTTGAATATATTACATACAATGTCAAAAGATATTTTATTGCAGTGCAGAACATTTTTCGAACCCAATTTTTCTGTCAAGGGCAAGCGTGGCCCACACTGGTGGAGTGAGGAAATTGCAAATCATTCATTTAATTTTCTGTTGGACTTTAGAATTAAAATTCCACAGTTTGCATATCCAGGTAACTCTGGCCATGAACGAATCTTTTTTTGAATCCGGAACTTATATCCCTGTTTTGTTGTTGGGTGCTCAGATCTGAAACTTTTGAATCGTCTTATCTTGAGTTTGAATTGCCCAATCCAACGCAACACGATTACACTAAGCTCTCGGTGGAAGAAAAAAAAAGACTTAATAAGAAGAAAACCAGAACTTATGACTCTGGTGACTAAACCCCAGATCTCTTAATCATCCACTGTCTGCATGTTGCGCGGCAACATGTTGCCATGGTGTCCCTGTCAGCATGGATGAGAGTCTTCTCTGGGAACTCAACGGCCTCAGGTATCCCGACACCTACCAACCTCTGCACATGGCAAATTTGGAAGCACGGGCTCGATGTGGTTTTCAGAGACCTGCCGCCGTCCCTCCCTCGACTACTGCTGTCAGTGACACTTCCAAGGATTTCAGAGAACTTTCAGTATGTAGCAGACACCAATGCAAATGAATCAATTCTTCGGATAATAATAGTATCCTGACGTCGAAGTGCCAATGAGCTCGTTCAGTGTTCTTGTGTCATCAGCAAGACAGATGAGGCCCATCAGGCTGCCGTCGTCGTCGTACAGAGGAGTGGCGTCGGTGACCACGAAGAACCGCTCCCCGACTTCTTCTTCACGGGGAACTTCCCTCGCCAGCATTTGCCGGTGAATATGTTGCCGATGATGGTGTTCAGCGCGGGGATGGCGTCGGGATGGATGATCAGTCTCGTGATGTCCTGCTCGACTGCTTCGGTTGAAGAGTAGTGGTACAGACGCTCGGCGTTCCGGTTCCTGGATGGATTATTACAAAGAAAAGCAACGAAATTTGGATCAAATCCACGTAGAATCGCGTGCGTGTGTCCGATAAAAAAAAAAGAATCGCGTGCGTGTGAAATCTCAGAGCATCGTTTGGAGTTTGGACCAATGCAAGCTCTCAAAACTTGCTGAGAGTGCACAGGAGCAGGAGTGCCCGGCATCCGTGGGGAAAAAGTGTTTTTTTTACCAGTAGAGGACCTTCCCCTGGAGGTCAAGGACGTGAGCGGCCTGCCCCAGCGACTGCATGGCCATCATGTGGTGCCTGGCGGACGTCCCGGTACGCCGACGACGCCGACGAGGACTGCTCGGCGGGCTGATGCGACGAGGACCCGCGGCGCTGGAGCTTGGACACCTGCCGCTTGAGCTCGGCCTGGCCCTCCTCCAGCGCCCGTAACTTCTTCAGGAGCTCACGCTGGCCGTCCGGCGGATGACGATCAATGCCGATCACTCAGTGGTAGTGATGGCAGCAGATATAGAGGCATCGCCGCATCGGCTAGCACGTACAGCAGCGGTTTGGAAACTAACCCAACGAAGAAAACAGCTGGGACAGAGAAGGCGACCGAGTGACCGACCTCCGTGAAGTGTACGGATACGAGAAAAGATTATACTAGTGTAGTTGTAGGCAAAAGGCCAAAAGCTTCGCTCATGCCTGACATATTCTGGGCTCGAAGATGGCATGCTGTCTCATGTCATGTGCATGCATATGCATGATGCATACATGCATGCATATGCATACATGCATGCAGAAAGTGGATTTAGGCCCGTTTGCTTCGCTGTGGCCTGGCATATTCTGGGCTCGAAGATAAAGTGTCTCCTGTCGTCAAGATTCATGACAGCTCAGCTTAGGAAAACGATCCGATTTGCATTCATGCATGCAGAATGTGGATTTGTTTGTATCAGTGCAGCAGGTCTAGCGCGTTAAAGTGGGAAAAGATTCGCAAGTTTGGGTATCAACTTACAAAACGATCCGATTCCTCCATTCGCTGGAATCGTGCAGCTGGTAGCGCGGGCTGAGTTAAGTCCCTATCGCCACCCAACAGACTTTCAAAGAACACGAGTACGGAGAAAAGAGGACAGGAAGCTAGAAGAGGAGAGGAAGCTACAGCTGCAAAGAACATTTGCAGATCCCCGATTCCAGTCACAATCGGCACTGGCGAGCTCGAGAGTCTGGAAATGGGTGCGGAGGGAGTGAAGATGGCCACTCAAATCGAAGTGGATGGAGGTCCACTGTTACGCGAACAGGCGCAAGCTTCGCCGCCGCCTCCTCTGTGGCTAGCTACTGCAGCGGAGAAGACTGCACACAAGCAGATCAGCGACGCCCATAGGGCCACCGAAGTGGAGGAGGCCGCGGTCCGTTCCATGGCGGAGCATAGTAGAAACGGCGCTGGAGGGTCGAGGGCTACAGTGGCCGAATCGGGGAACATTGTAAGTGTCCACCTGAGTAATGTTTATTTGGAATGCTTTGGTTGCAGAACTTCTTTCCGATTTTATAAATACCATCTTAAATACAGGTTGAGATGCCTTGTCGACCTGAACGCAGCGCCACACTAGATGCACACAACATTGGAATGTCGATTCCAGTAGGAAATAGCTTGGAGAAGGTAAGGTATTTACGCCCATTTTCTTAGATATGAATCTATATCTTATAAATTCAGATCTGTAAAGGATTAGCTTTGTGTGATAGTAGAGATCTTGGTAATCGTTTAGAGAGTTCACATTGGATTGTTTCATGATAAAAATGTTAGCTTTAGCAAGGAGCATTCTAAATGGATGTACAAAAATAATCAACATTTTCAAGTAAGCCTAGAAAAAATTGCTACTGTCAAGCAAATATACACTATGGAGATTTTGATTTAACCTGACATCAGTTGGTTTGGAGTTCGATTCTGAATTTGATCCACAAGTTCGGTACAGGATATGGATGTTCAAGTAAGTAAAGCTGGAAACTTCAATTCTTGGAACATTTTGTTGGCAATATTGATGTGAGTTCCGAAAATCAAATTCTTGACACAGTAAACCTTATTTTGTGGACAGGGTAACTCAGCCAAGAGGAATCTGAAGGAATTCAATTGTCAATTCGAATGGAACATCGTTAGCTATCGTTAAAGAATTTTCTACAATCAGTTTCCTATTTATCTGATTAGGACATTTCAGATCTAAAGCTGAAAATATTTACATAATGTTCTTTCACATTATAGATCTAGGTAATGTATTCTAGAATGCCAAATAATACAGCTGTTCTGACAGCAAGAATGAAAATAGATGACTCTGCTAAGATCTAACTTTGTGGATGAAATTACTAATTAGAACGGTAGTGAAGAGTTACAAAGAAAAAAATAAACATTAGCTGAACTGAGCTACCTGCATAGTGCATACTGCAGAATTCATATCATAATAACTACAACATAGGTTCAATATTTTGGATGGTTCTGCATAACAAGTGCGCAGATGATAAGTTTGCTCAAGAGTTTGGCATCAATGTTAACAGTGATCTAGTGACTGTTCCAGCCAGTGTACTGCCTCCACCCCTGGTAACTTTGCTAAATTCTTTTTTTCTTTGCAAAAATATTAGTGTTGATGAATCACCTTTTGTTTTATTATTTGGGGAATAATCAGGTTCTTTGTTGTATTTCAGTTGAAATATCATGACTGGTAGGGAGAAAACTTGTGCACCAAGTGTTGGACAATGGAACATGATCAATAATAAGGTTACACTATGTTCTTACCTTGAAATTTATCTCTGATGTTAGTTTAGCATGGCCATAGTTGTCCATAAATTTATTGTGAATTTGCCCAGCATCATTGTGCACTTGTTGTCAAGCTTTTAGGAGTCTGTCTTTTTGTTTGATGTTAAAACTATCATCACCAATTTTTCTAGACCAGTCTTTTTGACTACTGTGTTCTGGTACCCTTTTCCAGAAAATGATCAACGGAGGAACTATTGATAACTGGACTTGTTTGAACTTTTCACGCATGCGCTCTGATGAGGTACAAAGGTTGGATCTGACTCATATGTGCAATGCCACTGGAATGGTAAGTTTTTTACCATCCGTATGTGTTCTCAAGTCATTCCAGATAGTTCACTATATATTGCAGATTAACTTCTAATCATCCCTGTAGAACTAGTACTGAATATAGTGAGACTGACGACAATGAACAGAGCAAAGACGACAACGAACTAGTACTGCCACATTCTATGGGTAAGTGTTCCATTTGGCACTTTGATAAATTGATAATACACAGCTAGTGGGAAGTAGAGATTATATGTCATATGCTAAGATGATAAGTAATAAAGACAAATAGTATGGCCTCAATTTACAGCTGCACATGTCTACAAGAGTCAAGACAAATGCAATTTTTGGAAAATTATTAAAAAGTACAATACAGATTAAAAAGAATTTCCAAATGTAGGTGTTCATCCATAGAGGAGTGACAGAAATCCCAGCAGCACATATAGGTGGAGCCGGAGAGCACGTGATCTCATTCCAAATATTTTGAGAGTAAAATGTGCTGGTTCCAGTGAAGAGTGTGCTTAATTATATCTTCAAACTCAAGTTTATGGAAAAGCACTTGAAGTGGCAAGAAAAGGAAACTATAACTTTGATACCTGTGATATTGTCATGAAATGTCTTCAAAAAGCTGAGAGAAAGGTTGATGAACAGATGCAAAAGCAAAAAGAACAACCTAATGTGTCCATGAATGGAACTAGTGAAAAGGAAATGCATGCATGGCGAATTATACCTCATCTGATACTGAAGCTATTTCTGGGAATAGATATGGTGCATCTGGATCGTGTGCAGGAATGAGTGATGAAGAAGTGATGAAGATCAAACCACCACCTAGGCCAAAAACACAGGGCAGACTAAAGGAGAAAAGGTTCCTTTCATTCTTGGATAAAATTGAGAAGAAAAAGGATCCAAGAAGGGAAAGAGCACAAATGGAACATCAAAAAAACTTTTGGAGTCCCAGGTACACAGGCAGTTAACAAAACAAAAAAGAAAACCAGGGGACAGGCTACGTCAACAAAGATAACTCCACATTGCAAGATTTGTAAGGCAGCTGGTCATAATAGGATAAGGTGCCCAAAGGAGTGAAGCTCAAAAAAAAAATCTACTGTAGACATGAAGAAACTTTTGGGTTATTCATATGTTAGGTCTTCCAGCTAAGCAAAGTCATGCTAGAGACAAGGCTTAGTTCTATGCAGAACTACTTCGTTACATCTGTATTCTAAGGATCTATGTATGTTCAATTCTAGTTAATCCACGTATCTGTATGGGTCTATTAAGACAGAAATATGCATGCTTATTTTAATATATCTCAGTTGTAATGTGCCTGTATGTAGATTGAGACAGCTAGCTGAAAATGGAAGACACTAAATCTGAACTATTAGAATGAAGATTGCACTTCTATAAAATTGTCTTAAGAGCTGATGATGCTGATGTTTAAAATGGGAGAGCTAAGCCTAATAGGTGATAGTTACATGAACAAAAATTGCAGAGGCTTGCAATTGCAATGGAGCTGATGGTTAAAATGTGTAGATAGGATTGGAAATCGCCAGCTTCTTCACCTTATTCAACATGACACTGGACTTATGCAAAGCAAAACATTTTCAAGCTTTAAATAAGTTAGATCAGTAAAGGAGAACAAAAAAACTGTCTGCATCGCCTTAAACAGGGGCAGGAGCTGAGCACAGGAGAGCTTCTATACTTCCTGAACCAGTGGAATTGCACCATCCTACATCAGCCAGCCAACCAAAGCATTGGAATTTGCTAAAATAGGAGGAACACATGGACGTCCATATTGGAACAAATATGACACAGGCCGGAGTTGGTAGAATAGGAGCCGAGGCAACCGTTGCTGATGTGCTTGACCAATTTGAAGAGTCAGGCAAGTACCAGGATATGACAGGAGAAGTACTTCTACAACAGGGACACTCACTTGGGAGTAACAGTGACGTTTCAATCAGATTTCAGCTTTCACATAAAAAAATGGTTCCAAGCCGGCAAGGGTGCAACTCCCAGATAAATATTGGCCATTGTTAAACATTGAAAATACGCATACAAAATATACACACCATAATCCAGTTCTCACTTCATAAGGCATATTCTGATGATAGGCCATCACTTCTACTTTCTAATAATTTAGCTAAGGCAAATGTACAGATTAAAGGAAACTAGAGAACTCAAGTGAGAGAAAACAGTGTCAATATGATGACATTTGAAGTTCCAAGAGTGGAACCAAGTAGCAGGCAAATACACATTGACCATGACTAATGATGGAAAATGTGCATACAGAAGGAACAATACACAGAATCCATAGAACTAGTTAAACTGATCAAAGTTCCATCCAAGCTCGCTTGGCAGCCTCAGACTCAACAAAAACACGTCGACCTTTGAGATAGATAGCAGGAACATTGGCCTAAGATTGTTACTTTCAAGGTAGTCTGAATTTCAGTTTTGTACATAAGTTCCACAAAAAGTAATCATCACACTGGTCAATGGAATAAGATCAACAGCTAAATAATATCTCCCATAGCAAATAGCAGGTCATGATTGATCAGAACATGGCCTTACAAACCAAAATTTGAACATTTTTGCATGTCCTCTGGTTGAAAAATACACACTTTGACTGTTACAGAGGTTGTGAAACAAGAACATGATTGTTTCAATTTTACAAGCCCAACACCTTCGATTCAAAGATTCACTTACAACCAGGTATTACCACTACATTTAAGGGGGCCATAAAAGGAACTCACTTACAACAAATAGATCAAATTTTATCAGTTAGAGCATATCTAAATGCCCTGTGGGTAGTTATCCTTGTTCCCAATGGTCATTAACGGCTAACAAAGAAGACTTGTTTGGAACAATGTCACAGAAGCCTCCTACAGAAATAAAATCATCATCTCAGAGTAAATAAAAAGTATAAAACAATCAACACTATGTTATGATTGACTTACCATCACCATAGTTTGAGTACATGTATTCCCATCAAAGAAACGCGCATAAAAAACAGTATACAGCCCTGACTTCGCCCTATGAAAAATAACATTAGATGTGATAATTTATAAGAGAGAATACACAAAACATATACCTGAAGCAATGGACAAAAACTTTACATGCTAGCATTAAGATCTTTGTCAATTAAAAACTTGTGCTGCCATTTATCGTTCTTGCTATCTGAACTAGCAATAAATGTCTCTGACAATCTAGAAAAAGTGTCTAACACATCATGCTACCTGCAAAACTCTGAGGATGTTCAGAAAAGTTCGCTACGCATCAGAACTAAACCAAATTAGGGCGTGTTTAGATGCAAAAATTTTTGGGTTTTGGCTACTGTAGCACTTTCGTTTGTATTTGACAATTAGTGTCTAATTATGGACTAATTAGGTTCGAAAGTTTCGTCTCGCGATTTCTCACCCAACTGTGTAATTAGCTTTTTTTTCGTCTACATTTAGTACTCCATGTATATGCCGTAAGATTCGATGTGATGGGTACTGTGTAAAATTTTTTTAAACTAAACAGGCCCTTAGTTCATGTAGCATAAAAGGTAACAGGAACAATGATTATAAATTGAAACTGTGTTACAACTTTGCTAGACCATCAGTACACAACTAAAAAATTTATGAAATGTAACGATGAAGTAAAGGACTAGGCCATCAATAATTTATGAAATTTTGTTGTGCTTGTCAGCATTTCAAATCAGAGGAGGAACCATGAAAACACGATGAATTAGGATCCTACTACAAGAAAAACCAGGGCATGATCCTACTGTCATGTATTGCTTGTTCTAATAGCATTGTTCCTACGACAAAGGTTGTTCTACTTATGGTTCTAAATGAGTTCTGGCTCCCCAACCCCTCCACTTCCCGAATTCAATTTGTTGAGCAGCTACACCTCTTCGGAGTGTAAATACAACTTAGAACATTTTGAATCAAGTGTAAAAACTGGATCAGTTTGGGATGCATAGAGTAGCAAGCATAGAGATAGATCCCTTCACTAATACACACATATTTGAGCAGTTGCTTGCATTCAACTACAGATCCTGATGAAATCCAAAGGAAGCCAAACAGAAAAATGTTCCCAAATAACATTATTAACTAACTGAACTCCGATCCAACATAGAAAAATGACAGTTCTTCAAAAGGTCAAATATACCACTTTTTAACCATGGTCTGGATCCACATAACTACTAAAAATCAGCATGTTTTCATCAGTAACTTCCTAAAAAAGGTAGAGGACAGACAACTAATTTTCGATTTGATCTGCATACAAAAACTATAAAGCAATTTCTATGTATCTAAATAATAAGGCAACGAGTCCAAAATTTTGATAGCAGGGAGTACGTCCAACAATCCTCTAACTGCTTGATTCCTACAATCATATAAGATACAACATTTTGCGCTGAATGAATTTCAAGAAATTGTATAGACAACAAATGAACATTAGGATGAAAGAACATAATCCAAATAAAATCAGAAATAGAAACTTGCTGCATGGTTTTCTCATCAAAATTAAATAACTGTGTGCCTCACCTTCCCGGCAGTGCCGAATGAAAGATATCCATGGGCAATGGATGACAAAAGCACATCCATTGACTCACCAGCGACAACGACATTAGCAGTAATGTTCTTTCCGTGTCCAGAAATTACAACAACAACAACAAAGTCCTTTAAGTCCCAAACAAGTTAGGGTAGTCTAGAGTTAAAACCCAATAGAAACAATCAATGTTCAGGCACGTGAATAGCTGTCTTCCAAACATTCCTATCTAAGGCTAAGTCTTTAGATATATTCCATCCTTTTAAGTCGCCTTTTATTGCCTCTACCCAAGTCAATTTCGGTCTTCCTCTGCCACTCTTCACGTTACTATCCTAACTTAGAATTCCACTACGCACCGGTGCCTCTGGAGGTCTTCGTTGGACATGTCCAAACCATCTCAACCGGTGTTGGACAAGCTTTTCTTCAATTGTTACTACCCCTAATCTATCACGTATATCATCGTTCCGAACTCGATCCCTTCTTGTATGACCGCAAATACAACGCAGCATACGCATTTCCGCGACACTTATCTGTTGAACATGTCGTCTTTTTGTAAACCAACATTCTGCACCATACAACATAGCAGGTCTAATCGTCGTCCTATAAAACTTGCCTTTTAACTTCTGTGGTACCATTTTGTCACATAGGACACCAGATGCTTGCTGCCACTTCATCCACCCTGCTTTGATTCTATGGCTAACATCTTCATCAATATCCCCGTCTCTCTGTAGCATTGATCCTAGATATCGAAAGGTATCCTTCCTAGGCACTACTTGATCTTCCAAACTAATATCTTCCTCCTCCCGAGTAGTAGTGCCGAAGTCACATCTCATATACCCAGTTTTAGTTTTACTGAGTCTAAAACCTTTGGACTCTAAAGTTTTCCGCCATAACTCTAGTTTCTAATTCACTCCTGTCCGGCTTTCATCAACTAACACTACATCGTCCGCGAAAAACATACATCAAGGGATGTCCCTTTTATGTCCATTGTGACCTCATCCATCACTAAGGCAAACAACTAAGGGCTCAAAACTGACTCTTGATGTAGTCCTATCCTAATCGGAAAGTCATCCGTGTCTCCATCACTTGTTCGAACTCTAGTCACAACATTGTTGTACATGTCCTTAATGAGTCCGACGTACTTCGTTGGGACTTTATGTTTGTCCAAAGCCCACCACATAACATTCCTTGGTATTTTATCATAAGCATTCTCCAAGTCAATAAAAACCATGTGTATGTCCTTCTTCTTCTCCCTATACCGCTCAATA